ATATATATATATATAAATTATCGTATATATAAAATATAAATTCAGAGAAGTTGTTTATTTATTTGATATTTGTCAAATTTTTGAATAAGATTAGTTCTCACATATATAATGTAATATATTAAAAAAATTAATTTTTGATAAAATAAAATTTACAGCATGCATGTTTACTTTTTGTTCTTCTATTTATTATATATGTTGACCAAAAAAATCAAAATAGGAAAGATTGAAAGTTTTATGTTCTATTTAAATATTATTAAATATGTTTTAAAATAAATTATTACGTAAAAATTTATATCATATATTAAAAACATGTTTACATCATAAATAAATTAAACTTGATTCTTATAAAATTCAACATATGTATTTTTATATTTTTATTAGTATTAAATTATTATAAAATAGGTCTTTAAGATTGTAGTTCTAATTAAATATTTTAAAAAAATGTTATTAACAGATAAATATGTCATATTTAAGACGTGTATTTTTAAATAAAGTTAAGTTTAAACCTATTAAATTATAATATAACATAATCTAACCTAATTTATTTTCATCTTTAACTGTTATTGTAGATATAAAAACTTGTAAAAAATAATTATAATATATTTATACTTTTAAAAATTATATGTAAAATTTTTTATACTATAAATATATAAATAAACATTACCTCCACTATATAAAATTTCTGGATCCGTCATTGCTTCAGCCCAAAGCGAACAATATCTCACCAATGTGGAGACATGTGTACATGTGTAGTAATCCCATGCTTAACGGTGATAATGGTGATTAATTCAAACTTTATAATAAATTTTATGATATGTTTTTTTACTGCATGCAGATTACTTACAGGTGCTATACTTGCCCATGAGTTGATGCATGCTTGGTTACGCCTTAAAGGTTGATTTATCTTGGTATTCAACTTCTCAGTATTACATGATCGTCTTGTTTTTTATCTCACTTACCTTGAACTGGTTAAGCAGGTTACCAAAACCTGAGTCCTGAAGTAGAGGAAGGTATTTGTCAGGTTCTTTCTTACATGTGGCTTGATGCAGAGGTTATGTCGGGTTCTAGAAGCATGCCATCAACATCAGCATCAGCATCAGCTTCTTCTTCAAAGAAAGGTGCAAAATCTCATGTTGAAAGTAAATTGGGTGAGTTTTTCAAGAACCAGATTGCCAATGATTCTTCCCCAACTTATGGTGGTGGCTTTAGAGCAGCTAGTAAAGCTGTGGAAAAATATGGTTTAACTATTACTCTGGATCATATTCGTTATACTGGCCAGTTTCCATTGTAATAAGAACGTGTTCTCATAGGAGTTTGGAATCTTGTGTTTGATGTTGGAATTGGTTCAAACTTAAGACACAAGGTTGGACAGCTTCCCTCCTGCTATTTCATGCCCCCAGGGGGAAAGTGCTGTTCCTATCTAAGGTTGTCCATCTCCAAATTGAACAATATTATGCATGCCTTGCTTTAGTTTAAGAGATGCTATTATTTCTCATGCTTTTTGCAACCAATTGTGATATTTATTATTTAAAATTAAATATGTTTTTATTCTTTAAACTTTATTCAATTTTTATTAAATTTTAATCTGGGTTTTTTATTATTATTGATTTTTACTTTTAATTTTTGAATTTTTTTAATAATATTTTTAGTTCATGACGTCAAAAGCTTTTATTTATAGAAAAAAAGTTAGAGTTTAACATCAAATAAAATTTATTTAGAGACTAAAAGGTAAAAATTTGGTGAAATAAAAACATATTCAATTTTAAAACTTGGACAAAGAAGTTTATGGTTCATTCTTTCCTTTGCTTCTTCATCCTCCCCACTTCTGATTAATTATTTTTTTATAAATTCTTAAAATAAATATTATTTATTTATCAATGTTAAAAATGAAAAATAGTGACTTAAGTTTTAAAGATGTTAATTAAAAAAAAATATTTTATAAAGATCAAAATTAATTTTTTTCATCTATTAAGAGAAAAATGGCGATTTCTAATTTTAGAGGAAAGAATAACCTTTAAACATTATTTGAAACCTTAAACAACGAATAAGGTAAGATTAAACTTCATTTCTCAATCATATATTTCTGTTTGCCGAGGTAACTTGAATCGTAAAATCAAGTTACTTTTATTTTACAGTAAATAACATGATTTAGAATATTTTAATAAAATTAAGAAGCACAAGATATGTAACGAAATTATTCCATCATTTTCACAGACGTTACTTATTGGAATTAGTTGAAGCATTAGTAATTGAACTTTTGTGTAGGAACAAGATATTATTTAAGTTTCTTTATATTTTTGGTACATAAAAAGGCTTTTTCAAAAAGTACGCCTCTTCGGAGGTGCTGCACAGAGAGTTATAATTTTTTTTTTCCTTCCCGGTTTTGGTTGGGCCGATTTTTTATGCGTGGGCTTATAAATGGTGGAAAATGGGCTACCGGCGGGCATGCTATTATATTTAACGGGCATTCAGTGAACCAGAAAAAACAAAAGGGCTTTCATTTATTTGATATAATTTATTTTTAATATAAAAATATATTTATTTCAAGAGTTTAATAACTATGCATTGACAGTCAACCAATAAAAAATCATCATTAATATATATTTTTAATTATTTATTATAAAATTTAATAAACTTATCATAAATAATTTGTATTTGAATGCGAAATATAAAATAATATTACACATAGTACATTAAGCAGAAAATGTAGCAAGTGTGGTACACCTAAGTTGCTCGTATCAAGCCACTATTTCCACCGCATCACTGTTACAGCCATCAATTTCTGAAGCTTTTCTATGTACAGTCTTGTAAGTGTACCTCTTTGCCAAGAATATAAAGAGACACAAATTTAAAGCATTTACTACAACCAACATCCAATAAAACTTATCCAAACGACTTGAATTTATATCTTTGGCAATCCAACTTCTCCCATTCTTCCCCGTGACGTGGTCCACAATGATGATCAAAAAGCTGCTTAAGAAGAATCCTGCTCCAAGCACACTAAGATACAAGGCCATTCCTAAGCTTCTCATTGAGTCAGGAACTTGGTCATAGAAATACTCTTGCAAACCAATTAGAGACAATGAATCTGCTCCAAGACCAAGTATCAAGTTTTGGGGTATCAACCACAACACACTCATTGTCTCATGCCTAGTTCCCCCTACTGTTAAAACTTGATGTTCAACTGTTTTTAATCTCTTTGTTTCTACTAAGGCAGCAACAACCATGGCTAAGACTAAGAATGTTAGGCCAATGCCAATCCTCCTAAAGATGCTGATGCCTCTCTCATTCCCTGTCACTTTCCTCAGAATTGGAACAATAATCTTATCATATATTGGGACAGATATTATGGAGCTAATAGCTGTAACAGATGCCATGGAAGCTGGTGGGATTTTGAAGTTGTTGATTATCTCTAAGTTCATAGCAGCTGCTTGTTTCACAAAGAGTGTAAAGCTTTGTGCTATACATACACCAATCATTAATGAAGTTAGCCATACAGGAACAACATTTAGAATAAGTTTTGTCTCCTCCACTCTTGTCACTGTTGTTAATCTCCATGGATTGTCTTTCTCCTCAGTATAGTTCCCTTCAACTATTGCAGCCTTGTCAAGAAACCTATTTTAATGGATATTATAATAGTTACTTTAAACTTTATCATCTACTTATAAATTCTGAAACAAAAACTATTATATATACTACCATATTAATAATTATGCAGATTATACACCCTCATTTCCCATTTCTTTCTATGTGTTTACACTTTAAAGGATGTCCAGAAAAATCTTTTCACAAATATGAATTGGAGGAAAAGTAAAAAGAATATAAATGATTTTTTTTCTTTTGAAAGCTAGATTTTTCTATCCTTTCCTTTCACTTAATTTCTCTCCAATCAAGAAGGAAAAAAAAACACATTGCCATCCATATTTTTTTAAAAGTAAATTATTACCGATATTCTTAAAATTTTGTGAAAATATTGTACATAATTTTTCCTTTTTTAATGTTGACAACAAACCTCTCTTATAGAATTATATAATATAATATTTTCAAAAAATTAAAAAAAGTTTGTGTAATGTCTAAAAAGTGTTAGTATAATGTTTTTCAAAAAATTAAGAAATTAGTAGGAGAGTGATTTAGAGAGTAGACATACAATTTGACCAAATCTAAGGAAATGTGTATTTTACTCTATTTTTTATTTCCTTATTTTCTTTTCGGCCAACAAAACATACCATGATTACTACTTGCGACAATAATTAAAAAAGAGACCATGCTCTATATATCTGACAAGGTGCTCATTTGATACCTTAGCCTGCTGGTATGGCTTAGAAGCCTTCCTTGGTGCTTCTCTGACTTTGGCACTTCATACAATAGAGCATGATTTGAAGGACAAGACAAATTCCTTTTCCTTGTGGCTGCAATTAGGACTTGTAGAATTGGGATGAAAGGGTTTCCTTGTGGCCTCCTGTACCTGTAAAAAGGCTTCCCCACATAGAAGGCTATGATATTGAAAACCATAAAGATAGTGAGCATGAGACAAGCAATCCCCCAGCCCACAACGTCCTGAACATAAACAACCACTGTTGTACCAAGCAGCATTGCAACACACAGTGCAAAGGTCCACCAATTGAAGAAAGACATCTTCTGCTTTCGTTCTTCAAGGTGGTCACCATCAAATTGATCAGCTCCAAAGCTTTCTAAGCATGGTTTGAATCCTCCTGTTCCCAAGGCGATGCAGTAAAGGGCAAAGAAGAAAACCACTTCATGAAACTTCCTTGGTCGATCACATATCTCATTGTTGCATGGTTTTAGAATTGGCATGAATTGAGACATGGTCAACATGCTTAGTCCCTAGTTTGACACAACAACAAATCAGGCTTATTTTTCATAGTACGAATAATTATTAGATACTCTTCAACTCCACAGATTATCATATATTAATCTCTGCTTGATATATAATGAATTGTTATTAAGATTTTAACCGTAAATTAAAAAATTTAAATACATGTCAAATAATAATTAGACAAAATCATGGATATTTAGTGATTATAGGCTATCTAGTATAATTTTTATAGCCTTCATTTGATGTATATAAACAAAGAAATTGAAAATTGTTGTTCATGATCATGAGATATGTCAAATTGATCAAAGACAGGATACGAAGTATAAAAGCCCTAGTTATTACCAAGTTGCACGTAAATATGAAGTAAAACAATGAATTTACCTTTAGGTATACGAGGGAAGAATAGATTATCATACGATATCTACCGGTGTAGGCATCAGCAACAAATCCTCCAATTAGAGGCATGAGGGTTGTTGCTCCTACCCAATAGTTTACATTCTTGGTCGCTGTATTGAGGTCTTTATGCATCACTTTAGTCAGGTACGTGATAAGATTACTGGATAACCCAAAGTGGCATACCCTTTCACTAAATTCAATTGCTGCTCCAAATTGGAATACAATCATTCAACACTTGCACAATTCTTTTATGATCGCTACCCATTACCACAATTAGGAAGATAATTTGCCTAAGAAGAAGGAAATTTGATTTTATCTACTAAAGATCATTTAATTTGAGAGTTTCTACTATGAAACTATATGTTAACACCCTTTTACTAAAAACATGTTGAAATTGACCCTTGAATTGTTTGTGTAGCCATGTACTAGTTATTTGGAATGTTTTAACCACATTTTAATAGTTTTTAATGAAAATAATGAAGGTTAAAAAATGAGCTACGAGCCATTTTATTATTCAAAATTAATGACAATTTTTTTTAAAAAAAAAAATTTACTATTGTTGCAAACTTGAAAAAAAATTAATTTAACTCTGTAAGACTCTTTCAATTAAATTTCACCTTGTAAGATAATTAGTTATTTTAGTTGAATGCATAAAAATTTCTCAATAATTTAAACTAGTTTTCTAAAATTAATCTTCTCATCTTTCACTTAATCATTTCTCACCTATTTAATTAATGTTTGAAAAAAAAAGATAGATATTTATGTGTTTATTTATCTTCTCAAATCCTAATAAGAGAGAGAATTTATATCCAATTAATTTTAAGTATTTATTATCTTTTTGTTTATTGAATAAGAGATTTTTAGAGAAGATATAATTAATGCAATTAATAATTAGAAGAGTATCTTATAAAAAAATAAAAAAAATTTATATATATAAAAAAGTAGTAGTAATCAAGTAAATTGGTATCTTACTAAGGATAAACAGGGAGGCTTTCCATACACCAGTGGAAGCACGGAGAGGAAGTCTGCCTTTATAATCCACAGATGCATCATGCACCCATTTCTCTTCATTTTCTTCACTTTTACCTTCCTTTCTCTTTTCCGTTTCCTGCTCCATCTTTACACACATAACGTATGTAAAAACGATCTGCACCTCTTAATTTTGTATTGGTAAAAAAACTTTTCACGACGATAATGAAGATGGAAGTTAAGTTTTATGGATTAGTTTCTGGCTGTTCATTTTATGCGTTAATTAGTGATATCACTGTATCATTATTTTAACCAAATAAATCTCTCAATGGTATTTTATTTCTCCTACCACAATAAACAATACAAGCCCTGGTTTTTATAGAAGATAATAAAAGTAACAGTAACAAAATAAACTATCCAAATACTTCATCTATATTTTGTCTTTTGGTGTGTTACATAATTCTCTAACTTAAATAATCAAGTTATATTTTAGAATATCCTATATTTATGCCTAATTTTTTTTATGACGCGTCTTATGGAACGATTCTTTATTTAATCAATCATTATTCTTATTATAAAACTAGTAGAAATATATTTAATAACTATAGGTTTTGCTTCATTAAACAAAATCCTATTTTTATTAAGGTAAAAATTTAAATTATTAAAATCTTAAACTATAAGAATTTAAAATAACATTATAAACAATATGCAATAATATAAATAAAAAAATAAGTTATATTTTCACATCTTCAAAATAAAAACAAGTACTTAATTAATATCATTGGGGTAAAAAAAAATTAATAAAAATATAATAACATGAATTGTTATCACATAACAATAAAATAGATATAAACTAACACCAAATTCTCAAAAATTAATTGACAAAAAAAATTAAACTTGAAAGATTTATATTTCATACATTCTACTTTCTCAATAAACTTTCTTTTATTTAGTTTTTGAAAAATTAATCCTAATAAGTTAGTTTTGATCTAACTTATTTATATATATATATATATATATATATATATTATTTTTCTATATCACATGTATTCTCCAGCCTTATTTGAGCTAGAGTAGAACAATTGTGATGAATAGACTTGTTAAAATGGACAATTCTCTTAATTATATCCCTCACCAACTAGATAATAAAATGAGTTAATATAATTCAACTCACTTTTTGATGAATTTTAAAAAATTTAATCTGACTTGACCCATTATGGGTTGGCTTACTTAAATAATAATAATATTAATAAGGATTTTGTATATAGCAAGGTTGGAATAAGTTACTGAAGAAGAAAATAAGGATGAAAAGAAAATAAATTAATTAATTAATTGTGTGTTTGGTTAGATGTTAGAAACATTTGTGTTTAGAACTTTATTTTTTCAAATAAAATTATTAAATTAAACATAAGACTATATATATATATATAATAAGAAGGATAACCTTTTTTTTTTTTACGGAATTGACCTTTATAAAAAGTAATTAAAGTAATACTTCCAATGATGACTTTATATCTAAATCAGTGATCAAACTTCAATATTTAATTAAAAAATATAAGTAATAAACTACTTAAGCTACTAGTTTTTATAAATATTATACTATAAATCAGTTTTAACTAAAATTAAAAATATTTAAAATTTATTTTATGAACTCTAGCCCAAAAACTGCATTAAAAAAAAAAAAACGTCCACACACACTAGCTAAATTATATATGTTGGAGTAAATTTACCATAAAAATATATGTTAGAGGAGTAACGGATCAAAAAATTTTAAGTAGTGAAAAAAATACTTAAATACCAACTTATAACATTAAATATATAACTTAACATTTTTTTTATTTTTAAATTTTCTTAAAAAGTATTTTTAAAATATAAATAACATTATAATTACTCTTTAAGAAGTCTCATATTTTCAAAACATTGAATGATTTTTTTCATTTTCAAAATTTTAAAAATATCTAAGTAAATAATTAAACAATCAGATAACCGTTTATATTTTGAATCAAAATTTTAATTTTTTTTAAATAGTATAATATAGGTTTAGTTAGGTCAACCATCACTCTTAATTTATTAACTTAATAACTATAATTAATATTACATATATAAATATATTAGAAAAAAAGAAATATACAAAGTGTCTCTATTTAAAAATAAAAAATAATAATAGTTAACTAAAGCATAAGTGATTTAGAAATTAAATATTATCAAAATAGAAAAAATACAAAATAGATAAATAAAAGATAATAAAATTGATGAATTACAAACGCAAAATTGTAACTGAGATTTATTTAAAAAAAATTATTTAAAAATTATTATAAAAATAAATTAATTCAAAATTTATATACACCAAGAAGAAATATTTTTTTTATATTAATAATATAGATACTTAAAAATATTAATTTATTGACTTTAATTTTTTTTAACATAATAAAACACCAAGAATAATGAAGTCTTAACTTTTTTAAAATGATAAATTAAGATATTTTATTAAAATATATATATAAAAAATTGATATGAAAATTTAGTGGGAGTATTTTAACCCACAGTATCCGTGTAATAACGTTTGATTTCAGTCAACGGTCGCACATTAAATGAAATATGTGGCTTCGTAAATCGTAAGGGCCAGGATGCCTAAGCAAGTAACCTGCTTACATTTTGTTGAATTAAAATATCATACCTACTTTGACTTCCCCATGTTCTTGCAACAATTTGAAATCATATTTCATAAATTTAAAGCACATCTATTATTGTACCCTATCCTTTCTAATAATCTTAAAACACATAACCCTCTTAAATTATTATAGATATATCTTACGTACATATATATCGAGAAAAGATCATGGATCACATCCTCTAATATATTATTTGTTTTATTAATTAAAAAATTAATAATTAAAAAAGAAACTAATGTTGTAAAAAAATGTTTTAACTAATGTATAGTAGAAAGTGTTCAAAAGGATTATATATTAAAAATTGTGTTGATAAAAGCAAAACACTATTATTATACATGTTACATAGAAGAAAAAACTTTCAACAGATCAATTAACAAAAACCAGGAAAGGGTTTTGAATTTCTTTCAAAAATGACTGAATCCATACTCTTATTTCCCGTCAAGTTTAATTTTCTCACATCAATGACTAACAACAACAATGAAAAAGAAAATAGAAATTTGCTCCTTAATTTAATGGAGGATGCATTTTAGGGGCATAATAATTATAACTAACAAATAGTATGCGTATGGTACAATATTTAAGAAACTTTTTATTAGGATAAGTCTACATATTGAATGTCCGATTGTATCACAAGCTAAATTATCTTTAAAAGAAAATATATGTAACGAAACAAAAAAAATTAAGTTAAACTAAACAAGAATAAATAAAACTATTTAAAATTTATAAGATAAATGTGCATATAATTAATTTTAATATATAAATAAAATATAAATAATTTGTATTTAGGGTTAAACTTAAAAGAGCATATTTTAACAACAAAATAAAAATTAATTTGAGCAAAATAAATAGATTAGATTTTAGATGAAATTGAAATTTTAATATAAAAAACGAATAAATTTAAAGCTAATGTTTGAAAAGGTCTTAATATATTAGTAATGGTAGTAGTAATTGTTGATGATGATAATAATAATAATAATAATATTAATAATGTAAATGAAGATAATAATAATAGTAATTGTGGTGGTTATAATAATGATATTAATAATAGTAGATTAAATAAATGGTAAATAATAATATTAACATTTGAATTAATTAAATAAATATAGATATATGAAATTTGATGTGAAAACTTTAATTTGACAACTTAGTCAGATTTTATCTTAACTCTCTCTCAATATGTGAGATGTTGTCATGATGAACAATCTTGACAAATATTTTAGTTTATAATACATAGATTTGTATAATAGAGGGACAAATCAATCGAGAAATTCTATTAATTGACTTAAAATTATATATAT